ATTTTTATATTATTTATTTAAAGATTTTAAAGTATATATAATTCAAAAATAGTTAAATATATTGACTTTTATCAATAAAATTAGATATAGCTAATAAAATTATATTTTTATATTATTTATTTAAAGATTTTAAAGTATATATAATTCAAAAATAGTTAAATATATTGACTTTTATCAATAAAATTAGATATAGCTAATTAAATTAAAATTTTGCATGCATAATTTAAACTATACATATATAAAATTAATTATTGATATAAAAATTAATATAAATTAATAAATAACTCTTAAAATGTTTCAACTTTTTGTTTCCCTAACTTAAATTATACATATATAAAATTAATTATTGATATAAATATTAATATAAATTAATAAATAACTCTTAAAATATTTTAACTTTTTGTTTCCCTAACTTAAATTTTTGTCTCCGTCCTTGCCCCCAAAACCAAAAAATCGCCCCCAACTCCGCCCACCGGAAAGAGGTCTCTCGTGACCCCGGCATCATTGTTCTTACCACCACTTCCAATCTTCAGTATGTCGAAACTGAGAGTGGAGGCATCCCACTACCACGTGCCGAGGAGGAGTCCTCTGTCTGAGGAAGGTGGAAGGTGGAAGGTGGAAGGTGGAAGGTAAAGAGGAATGGAGGCTTAATTTTTTGCCTTTTTTTTTTTTTTTTTGTTTAAAATGAAAAGGGGTTAAATATTAAAAAATGATTTAAGATAATTTTTTTATATCTTTGATATAATTTTATATGAAATTTAAATAATTAATTTTTTTATTTATTTACATTTAATAATATTAAATACATCTATTTATTTAACAATATATAAAAATTATATAAAAATAATATAAAAAATTACTCCTATATCATTTAATTGTTGGAATGAAAGTTGCAATTTGGTATGCCACGGTGGATTATGTTTGCTTATGTGTGGAGTGACGTGGTAATTTTAAACGGAGGGGCAACAGAGTCGTGAGGGCACATTATTTTTTTTCCGTTAATTTAAGCACAAATTCTCAATGAACTTAAAGTTACTAAGTTATAGTTTGAGGGAAGTTGGATTCAAATCTAGCAAATAGAGAAGCCAATTGGTGATTTTTTTTCCCCATGCTAGAAGAATTTTTGTTCCTTTTCAATGCCTGATATATGAGCTTCCCATGGGCAATATAAAGTTCCATTGCAAAACTTTGGGGGTTAACACATATAAGAGTGCAGATTCAACTCAGTGGTAACCATTTATGTGAAAATCTAGAGGGAGGTCACCTTATCAAACTCCAAGTTACTGAGACCTTTTCTTGGTTAATTACATACAAATGGCCTACGAATTTGTTCATCTTTTGTGGATGAAGTTTATCAACCTCGTACAACTTGCACGGACATACCTTTTGTGTTTTACACAGGGTTCATTATTATGATGATTGAAAATGGTTGAATTTTTTTTTTTTTTTTTGAGGAAAATATAATAGTTGCAGGGGTGATTCAACAATGAAAACTATAGAATGTTCAACTTTTTTTCATTGTTGTGCAGTGGATAATAACTTACAATCATTGTTCACACTTCCTGTTTCGAATTTCGATGCAGGCCCTGGGGCTGTAAATTTTATTATAGACCACGCAGAGCTTGATTTTGTATTTGTACAAGATAAGAAAGTGAAAGAAGTAAGTTTCAAAATCAACAAATTGAACTGCACTGGGATTAACTAATTTTGCTTTTCATCTGAACTCCGATTTCAAAAGCAACATTATTCTGATTGCTTCTTGCTTTTGCAGCTTCTAAATACAGTTTGTACATCTGCTCAACGACTGAAAGGTGAAAATGACTATATATGTTTTTGATTTCAAATTTCATAAAGGCTCTCTACTGAGCTTGGTCCTGGTTACAGCTATAGTTTGCTTCACGGTGTTGAAAGAGGAAGAGAAGGATATGGCAACTCAAAAGGGGATTAAACCGTACTCATGGACGGAGTTTCTCCAAATGGTTAGTTTTCGCTGATTGGAGAGATAGGAAGATTATTCATTCAACTCCAATGAACAGTGATGGAATTTTATTTCTTTCTTAGTGATTACCTACTGTGCTTTCATGTATGCTTCCATCATCCTAATATTGGTCTTGTGTTGCCTTAAAGAACTTTGGTTGAAATTTAGATTACTCTTAATACATTGAGTCCTTTACAAGGCTCCTGATGAATACGGTTGTCTCAAAACATTTTGCCTGAATTTCAGGTAAATTAAATAGTTTTTATTTTCCAGATGCTTCTCTATTATGATTAACGTTCAGAGTATGTTGTTCATCAGGGAAAGGAATATCCACAGGAGATTTTTCCACCACAACCTTTCAACATCTGCACCATTATGTACACAAGTGGCACCAGTGGAGATCCCAAAGGTGTTATTTTAACCCATGAAACAGTTGCAACTTTTGTAAGGGGGATAGATCTTTTTATGGAACAATTCGAAGACAAGGTATATTTAATGCTCAAACCTTCCATTGACTTTTTCTACATGATACGATACCTCTTCTGTCATTCAGGCAGCATGATGATATTATTGTGTTTCTAATACCAGTTTGTCATGAAATGTTTTGGTAGCCATGATTGTGATGTCTGTATATTTTTGTTATTCAGACCCTTTTATTCCTTTTCATGCACTTCTTTTTAACCTGATATGTCCTTTTTGTGAATTTTTAGATGACAGTAGATGATGTGTTTCTGTCATTTTTGCCTCTTGCTCATATCCTTGACCGTGTCATTGAAGAATATTTTTTCCATAAGGGTGCATCTGTTGGCTATTACCATGGGGTATGCTGCTTCAGCTATCTGTTTCTTTCATCTAGAACTCGTTATTCTAAAAGACATTTGCTTCATCGTTTGAAGGATTTGAAGGAGTTGCGGGATGATATAATGGAGCTGAGACCAACATTTCTCGCTGGCGTACCCCGAGTTTATGATACAATTTATGAAAGTATGCCAAGCATCTGTCATTAGAAAACTTTCATCAATTAATTGATTTCGAGTGCCAATGATTAAACCCTTTAATCCATTGGGACTCACAATTTTTCAGGTATTAAAAAGGCTCTAGATGAGCTCAATCCGATAAGAAGGTGTATTTTTAACGCTCTCTACAAATAGTAAGATGGTTTTCTATCTAAATTTTACTATATTTGTGATCTAATTTGATGCTTCTCATATTTTCTTGTAATAGGAGATGTAATGTATTTCAATCCATATCATGTGAACATGATACTTATATTTGTGTTGTATGCAGCAAACTTGCTTGGATGAATCTTGGGTATAAACAGAAAAATGCATCACCTCTTGCAGATCTCTTGGCCTTCAGGAAGGTTGCATCTTATCACTATAGGATTTATCCACTGCTACCTTGTACTTGGCTTCATCAACATTACCTGGATACTGTTTGTTATGCTATAGAAAACTGCAGAACTGCCAGGTGTCTCATTGGTATTCTTCTTTTCTTCATCAGGTTAAAGCTAAGTTAGGGGGTCGTCTTCGATTGTTAGTGTCTGGAGGTGCACCATTGGGCTCCGAGGTAGAAGAATTCCTGCGGGTTACTTGCTGTTGCTTTGTAATCCAGGGCTATGGTAAACATTCTCTCTATCCTATCATATCTAAATAATCAGAAACCTGTTTATAAATAAGCGAATAAAGAAGAAGCAAGAAAGAAAGGACTGACATGTAGGTAGGTGTGATGAGCCGAATGTCATGCCTTAAAGCCATTTTAATTGAAAGTCTAACCCTGCTATAGTCTAGCCCACTTTGTAAAGAAAATTTTCTTATACAGCTTTTGAACTCAGTGAACAATTTCCATTGTGATTAATTCAGGATTGACAGAATCTTGCGGTCCAGCAACGTTTTGTTTTCCAGATGAAATGTGCATGATTGGTGCTGTTGGTGTCCCTGCTGTGTATAACGAATTGCGTTTGGAGGAGGTTCCAGATATGGGCTACAATCCACTTGAAGATCCTCCACGTGGTGAGATATGCTTGAGAGGGAAGACTATATTCTCTGGCTACTACAAAAACCCCGAACTGACAAGAGAATCCATTCAAGATGGGTGGTTCCATACAGGTGAATTGTTTGATTTTCTCTCAGGCTTTAACTCTTCTTTACTAATCTTTGGGTTATAATTTTTACCATTCTTTGCATCCTCAGGTGACATAGGGCAAATTTTTCCAAATGGAGTTGTTAAGATAATTGATAGGAAGAAAAACCTCATCAAGCTCTCACAGGGAGAGTATGTGGCACTAGAGTATTTGGAAAATGTTTATGGCATCACCCCAGTTGTTGAAGAAGTGAGCAATTTTTTCTAACTTCTTTGTTAATTTGCATCATAAAAGTTATATTGCTTTAACATGAACACACAAAAAGAAGGAACCTATTTGATTTCAGACTGATTTTGATTGTCTTTAATTTCTACTTTTAAGATATGGGTCTATGGAAACAGCTTCAAATCAATGTTGATTGCTGTAGTTGTGCCCCATGAAGAGAACATCAAAAAATGGGCATGCTTGAAAGGTCATATGGGTTCATTCTCTGAACTCTGCTGTCTCGACCAGACCCGGGATTACATCCTCTCAGAACTGAAATCCACAGCTGAGAGAAACAAGGTATCTCTACTTTTTTTTTTTGAACAGCAACAAGGTATCTCTACTTAAATGCAAACCAGCATCAACTCATCAATTCAATTACCGATGATTATTAGACCTAACAAAAACGCTTAACCATTGTTTTTCTCTGTTGATCAACTAGCTGAGAGGTTTTGAATACATCAAAGGAGTCTATCTAGAGCCTGTTCCATTTGACATGGAAAGAGATCTAGTGACTGCAACATTGAAGAAGAAAAGAAACAATCTGCTTAAACACTACAAGGTAATTTTCTGTCCTGTTATTTCCTTTCCTTTTTAGCATTGATAGAGGAATTCACATGTCATTTATTTGAACTTGAACAGGCTGAAATTGATGCACTCTATCAGAAACTTGAGGCGCAAAGAAGAAGCTGAAGGGTGTATTATTATGAGACTGAATCAGCCACCCAAGATTATGCATTAATAATTGTTAAGAGTTAGACAATAAAGATTTTACTTAAACTGTTTAACTGGTGTTCCAGACAATCTGCCTAAATGACTGATGATGCTTCATGTATGGTGTTTAAATATGTTGTTCCTACTAAGTGTAAAAAACAAGATCCCATGTCAAAAAAAAAAAATATAATAAATAAATAAATAAAAGAGTGGGTTTAATATGTGAAAACTCATATAATTATTTTTATTAGATTAGTCTTTAAGTTGTAATATTTGCCTGATGCTCAAGGGAAAATGTTTGACTGATTGATTACTTTCTTGATAGTTTTAAAAAACAGATTGATTTCTTTTTCGATAGTTTTAAAGACATATTTCCTATATTGCTGACTAAATGTTTAATAATATTTAACACTATAAATCTAATTTATAAGATAAAACTTATTAAAAATTTTTTATAATTTTAAAGGCATTTTTCATATCAGTCGTTTGATATTCAAAATAAATTTAAAATGTTTGGTATTATCTAAAATTATGAGTCTAACTTACAAGATGAAACTTGTTTTTGCATACCAATATAGCAAACTTTTAAGATTGAGCATTTTTAGTTGAAGAAAACTTTCATTCTATTTGTATCACTATTTACTTGTTTGACGTTTCTTCTAGAGTTTTTTTCTACTTAAAAAGTAGAAATGAACCACAGGCTTATATAATTACATGTTAAGAGTCAACTATAGAGAGTCAACATTCGACTCTCAAATTCCAGAGAGTTGAAAACGTTGGGGTTGCTAGGTATAGTCACTCTTAATGAAAAAGAGTCAACTGTTAGTTTTAAAAAGTCATCTATTGGCAAATTAAATATTATGATACTTTTATGTGAAATGTTTATGTAACTTCATATGTACATCCACATTATTTTTAGATAAAATAGAGTTTTTAATTATTTCAAAATGTTAATATATAATGTAATTGTATTTATTAATTTGACAAGTGTTAAATAAAATTGAATAGGTTAAACAAAACCAACTAATAAATTAAATTTTAGATATAAATTATATTTTTTAAAGATTAAGAATTAATTAAGATATAATCATTTTTTTCATTCAATAGTGCGGCTGGCAGGAGTAGTAATGATTTAAAGTCTTATCAACATGGTACATGTTGGTGATGAGTAGTGAAGTTGAAATTCAAATAGGGTTTAGCAACATGGAGTATATTGTTGATAGGGTGATAAACTTTCAACAACATAATTCTATATTATTGAAAGTTCTTTATAGACCAACTACTCCTCTCAACCATCTCCATGCCCTTCTACAGATCTCATGCCTTCCTTAGCTTTCTCCTAATGCGCATAGCCTATTGCACCATCATTTGAACTGTGCGCACCTATCCTCCCTAGCCCTCTCAGCCATCTCCGATCCATGCATGCGTTTCTGCAGTTCTTCCGCACATCCTCTCATGCCCTTCTTTCTTCTCACGCGACCTGCTGTATGCACCATCATCTGATCCAGATCTTCTCCCTAAATCTCCTGCTGCATCATCATCTGATCTACACACCTCGATCTAGATCTCTTCCTCACATCTCTCTCGGCGTCTTTTTTTTTTCTTCTTCTTTTAGCATAGGTCCTCCATATATATATATATATGTAGATCTAATCACCCATGTCATTTTCATCATTACTTGTTCTTTGTTATCATTAAATGTATATATGAATATATAATTGAATAAATTTCATCAATTACTTTAATTCCTTGAAGCATATTGTATGAAATTTTTTGTGAATATTATATTATTAAGTAGGTATTAATTTATTTGAAGCTTAATATATTTATAAATAATTATATATAGTAATTAATAATTTTGTGAAAATATGGCTTTATCAACTTGAACAATGTTGGTGAAACCATGCAATTAGCAACAAAATATATGTTGCTATTAATTTATTTGAAGCTTAATATATTTATAAATAATTATATATAGTAATTAATAATTTTGTGAAAATATGGCTTTACCAACTTGAACAATGTTGGTGAAACCATGCAATTAGCAACAAAATATATGTTGCTAAAAAATAAGGGACTACATCCCTCCTCAAACTTTTAGCAACAAAAGCCATGTTGTTAAAATCATGTTTTTAGCAACATGGCATTAGCAACATGACTTATGTTGGTAAAACTACCCCAAGGATCTCACTAGAGATGATTGTCGAAAGTTAGCAAAATTTTTATCACATTGCTGAAATTTTGGTTTCAGCAACGTGGATTTTGTTGTTGAAAATATCCACAAAATCACTAGAATCTTCATTGGAATTTGGCAAAATTTTTAGCAACATAAGGCACGTTGCTGGAACTATATTTTCATAAACATGCCTTAATGTTGTTGATACATTACCAACAAAATTCTTGTTGGTAATGTATCACTCACCAACGCTTTTCTAACAAAACTTTTCCAACAAAGCTTTTGACAACTAGTGTTATGTTGCCGAAAAAGTTTCAACAACATGAGAACCATTTTCAGCAACATGCTTTCATGTTGTTAAAGATAGGAAATTTAGTAGTGTGTAATTGTACTCATAAATCATTAATGAATCATTTTAGTATTTTTCCAATAAACTTCATTCCAAATTTAGTGGTAATAAATTTTATATATTTTAAAAGGATTTTTTTAACTTATCCCCTTAGGGTACCTTTTTACAATAAATTTGTTAAGAAAAATGTAAAATTAGATATTAATTTTAAAATCAATGTCACGTGGATAAAATTAATTAAAAAGTTAATAAATTAAATATTATTTTTTATTTTTTTAATATTCTTAAGACATATGTTAGAAAAACTCATTTTAAAATTATTTACTATTATTATTTGATAAGAACAATGTTATAAAAGTTTTACTTCCCATAAAAGGTTAGAATTTTAATTTTAAAAATATCATTTTTAATAAATATTTTAATTAGTTATTGAATTAAATATTTTATTTATGTAGATTGTGTATATTAATTTTTAAATTAATTGAATGAATATATTTAATTAATTTATTGATTACACAATAAATGTTAAAAAATATTATTTCTTGATTAAATGGTTATAAATGTCAAAATTAACATATTTAATTTATATCAATAAAATATTAAATCTAACACTAATTATCAAAAATATTAATTAAAGACAGTATTTTTAAAATTAAGAGTCTAATTTTTTAAAAAAATTATGCCTGAAATGCAGCATTTTGTTATTTTATATACATCCATGATACAAAGCCTAGCTGCCTGATGTCAAATTTCGGGCTGCGTGGTGTCGCCAGAGAAAGAACAGCCGCCAGTAATTCTGATGCGCATTTTAGACAGAGTCCTTCCTCTGACGATTTCCCGCCAAATATGTACACTTCCATCGGCCAGTTTACAAAACAAAAGATTAAACGATGCACAAATACTCTCCGATCAGAACCCCACATCGCCGAATATTATCTTCTGGAACAGGATGATCAATGCTTGTGTACAGAAGGATCAAATGCTAAAGGCACAAAAGCTGTTCGATGAAATGCCTGTAAGAGATGTCATTTCGTGGAACACTATTTTACTGGGATTAAACAAGAGCAAGAACCCAGAACGGGTCTATAAATGTTTCTTAGAAATGGGTAGACTTGGCCTCAAGCCGAATGGTCATACCTTATCCTCAGTGGTTACTGCGGTTCTGGAGACGGAGTTCAAGGCTTTGGTCCCCCAGATTCATGCAATTTCTGTGTGTTTGGGGCTCAATACGAGCTCTTTTGTTGGGTCTACGTTGATGAAAGGATACAGATTTTTGGGAGATCCAGTGGGAATAGGTAGGGCGTTTGATGAGATTCTGGTGAAAAATGCTGTGTGTTGGAATACCTTGGTGTGGGCATATATGGAACTGGGGTGGATGGCTGAGGCCCAGTGGGCGTTTGATAACATGCCGGAGAAGAACATTGTTTCTTGGACTAGCCTGGTTAATGGGTATATCAAAAACAAGATGATTAATAAAGCTCGGTCAGTGTTCAACAAGATGAGTGAAAGTAATGTGGTTTCTTGGACTGTGATGATCAGTGGGTATGTGCAGAGTGAGAGATTTGTTGATGCTTTGAAGCTGTTTTGTTTGATGCTGAGATCAGAGACTCAGCCTAATCAGTTTACATTATCGAGTGTATTAGATGCATGTGCAGGTTGCTCCTATCTTGTCACTGGCCAGCAAGTTCACTCCATAATTCTGAAATCTGGTACCCCAGATGATGTAATATTGTCAACCTCCCTTGTTGACATGTATGCAAAATGCGGGGAGATTGACACTGCATTTCGTGTTTTCGAGTTCATTGCGAATAAAAACTTGGCGTCATGGAACTCCATGATAGGAGGTTTTGCAAGACATGGGCTTGCAACAAGAGCATTGGAGGAGTTGGGTAGAATGACAAACAGTGGCATCAAGCCTGATGAAGTTACGTTTATCAACATCCTATCCGCATGTGGGCATGGTGGAATGGTGAAAGAAGGTGAAAGGCACTTTAGCTCCATGGGCATAATGCATGGAATCCAAGCAGGGGTGGAGCATTATGCTTGCATGGTTGATCTCTATGGGAGAGCAGGTCAGCTGGACAAAGCAGGGGAACTGATCAAGGGGATGCCATTTGAGCCGGATGTGGTAGTTTGGGGTGCGTTGCTTGGGGCCTGTGGCTTGCATTCAAGTTTAGAACTGGGGGAATTCGCCGCAGAAGGAATTTCAAAGCTGAAGACAGATCATCCCGCAGCTTATACAGTGCTCTCAAAGATTCACGGTGAGAGGGAGGTATGGAACAGTGTAATTGAGTTGAAAAACATTATGAAAGAGAAAAATGCCACAAAACAGAAAGCAAGCAGTTGGGTTGAAACTGCCGCTATAGAAGACTAAACAGTGAGTGTTAAATGATTAAGACTTGTTTGACAAAATTGAGCTATATTAAAACCCGAAACTTGTAAATTTGTTACATGTTTCCTCTGAAACAGTGCATTTCTTAAAGATACTTGCAAGGTTGGAGGTATTGAGATCATCCCAGCACTTTTATCTTCCAAAATGGTATTCAGCAAACACTAAAGAGGACAGGAATGCGGAAAGCGGAAAGTAACTGTCCCAGAATTTTTTCCTGATCCAGTGAAGCCATAAAGCTATTAGCATAAAAAGAAAAATAACACACGATGTAAAATACGCACTGTGCAACCTCAGATCAACCTAACGGGTCCAAAATGTTGCCCCATCCATTACTCTCCTTAAATGTTCAACAACTAAATCACCAAATTAAGTTGGTTGATAAATAATACAGAGAGATAAGGAACGTCCTCGACGGAATGGTAAATGAAATTTTGAGTATGCAAAGCACTAAATGACTCGCACACTCCAGAAGAGTATACTAAATAACTTGGACACTTGAAGAAATATTGTCATCCATGTGCAGTATGAAGTATTACTTCATTTTCTGTTCCTACTCTCCTCTCTCTCCTTTCCCCTTTTTCTTGTAGATCTTTTCAAGGACACGCCTAGCCTCACAATTGGGAAAGTTGGTCAGATCATAATAATGCGGAGCTACATCGACTAACCTGTATCCAAAAAAATGGCATCTGATATGAGCAGCCTTTCTAATTTCCTCAAGTCAATGTTTTAATTTATTCAAAACAGGCAACAACTAAAACAACAGCAGTAGCAGTAGCCAATAACAGGGAAAAAAGAGACTAACCATTCACCACGAATGTCTGTCACTGTTCGAATAAAATTCCGGCTAGTTAGGACATATTCGTTATAAATGACCCATTCTGGCTTGTGATCCAGACAATTTGATGGATGCAAATGCACCACCTACAGGGTAAATAATGGAACAAAACAGGTTACATCTCTAGTCCTAAAGACTAAAGATAATATCATAATATAAGAATTTTAGCAGAGATTTACCATATTCAGAGGAAAGCATGCAAAACTTTATACTTACTTGGTTGTCTTTGACAGTCAGGTAGTGCCCTGTCCGCTCCAAATGAGCTACCTGCATGAAATATCCAGCAAGCAATGCCTTTCTTATGTTGATGTAGTAGTCACGACTGTTGAATTCAGTGCTGCACACCTTGAGGTTAAACCTGTTCATGATGCGCATCAGCTGTTGTCTAACGTTATCAGCAGCCTTCAGTGTCCTGTGATTGATGAAGTTCTCGTAGCACCAAGATGGATCCTCATCTGCAATTTATTCATCAATCAGTCAATTGTGTACTTAAAATCATGTCATTAGTAACTGTGATCTTGAGGAAAGAAGGTACTTACTATTTGATTTGTAAGCATGGTAAACATTCAAAAGTGTGAGATGATCTCCATCAATGTGTCCAAACCGAGCTTTTGCTTCATCTGCTGCTTTTTGTGCCTCCCTAGGCCGGACAAAGCAATTGGGTACTAAAGAAAGAATTTGGTTATCACAGAAGAGGCCCATTGTAGGTCAGCAGATGCATAGAGGCGAGACGACACCATTTGCTTCATGAGAGAATACTGAGAAACTGAAACTATCTGCATCAGCACCTACTTAGAAATCCTATGGTGCATGCCAACCGGGGGCATGGTACCAAGACAAGACAGTTGCTGATGACAACCTAAAGACAAGTTAGATCCATAACTGTATCCATGTACACCAACAGTATGCACACAAGCAGTTAAGGATCTAACAGTGTGCATCAGATAGAATGATCCGTGCACATGCTATATAGATGGGGATGTATCCAACAAGAATACAGCCCTCACATCTGCTTCCTAAGACAAGACTCAAGACAGACACCAAGATCTAGAAAGCAAATTAAAGACATACCTGAAAGCATTGAAGCGACCGAGAGAATCTCATTTGAACAGTTAAATTCAGGACTAACAACGAGCATCTTTGCCATTTGAGGATCAAGGGGAAATTCACTCATGATCTCTCCCAGCTTTGTCAAGTTTCCATCATCATCTAATGCACCCAAGTAATTCAACAACTCCAAAGCACGCATAAGTGTCTCAGGGGCAGGTGGATCCATGAAATCAAAATGAACCAAGTCATCTATTCCCAGTTTCTTCAAGGTAAGAACAGTATTTGCAAGGTTTGATCGCAATATTTCAGGATAGGTCTGAGGATGCAGATCATTATGGAAACTTTTCTCAGTGTAGAGTCTGAAACATTTTCCAGGCTGAGTTCTTCCAGCACGCCCTGATCTTTGGTGTGCACTTGCTTTTGATATAGGTGACACCAACAAGGATTCAACGCGAACTCGTGGATTGTAAACTTTTTGTTTTGCAAATCCAGGGTCAATGACATAAACAATACCATCAATAGTCAATGAAGTCTCAGCGATATTTGTCGACACCACAATCTTTCGTCCAGGAGGACCGCCTTCATTCAATGGTGGGGGAGCAGGTTCAAATATTTTCTGCTGCATTGCTGGTGGAAGAGTTGAATACAATGGCACCGCTTTCACAGGCCCCACTTGATCACCTAAGTTTGCAATTTCTTTAGATATTTTGCGGCATGCATCTTCTATCTCCTCTTCTCCAGTCAGGAAAACAAGAATGTCTCCAGGAGGTTCACACATGTGTATCTGGACGACTGTACGTATGGCTGCCTCCAAGTAATCCCTTTCAGGTTCCTGAGTGTAGAAAATCTCCACAGGATGAAGCCTACCAGGGACCTTCATAAGAGGAGCATCACTAAAATAACCCTGAAACTTTTCAGCCTCAAGAGTGGCACTCATAACAACTAGCTTGAGATCAGATCTGTTTCTCAAAACTTCCTTCAGAAGTCCAAACAGCACATCTGTTGCCAAAGTTCTTTCATGGGCCTCATCAAGAATTATTACTTTGTATCTTTCCAGAAGAGGATCTGTCATGGCTTCCCTTAAAAGCATACCGTCTGTTAGATACCTGCCAGGCAACACAACAAAATTTAACAAACCTTTATCGATGTCCAATAGAAAAAGGAGAAAACTACAAAGCAAGTTTCTAAAAGGATAACATCTTAATGACAGAAGGATAGGCTTACTTCAAAACAGTTTTTGCACTACTGCAATCTTCAAAACGGATGCTGTAACCAACCTCCTCACCTATACTTACATCCATCTCCTCAGCAACACGTCTGGAAACAGACATTGCAGCAACTCTTCGCGGCTGGGTGCATGCAACCATCCACTTCCTACGCTTATCCGGCAATTCTACTTCCACAGCTTCTAAAACAAACTGAGGAATCTGTATAATGAAGACACCTTTTTAGTAATTCCACAAAGTTATATGCAATAAGAAAAAAATATGACAATCAACAGAAACATTGAGTGCCACAACTGCTCGAGCCCACCTAAAAACTTTGAAGTTTCTTAAAATGTCAAACGCTCAATTCAGTCACTGAGAATCTCTTGCTCCAAACTAAGAAAAAGACATGAAACCAACGACAGAAACTCATATTGCATCCAATTAACTTAAAAAGTTAATACAAGTCAACTTGAGTTCATCACCCTATAGAAGCCGATGCACAAAAGATAATCCTCCGGTTGTACACAGCATAAATTATAATACATACTAGATGCCATCAAAACTAAAGCTAGATTCTTCATAATACCAAACAAATAAGCAACAGAACAAATTTCGAAAAGGATGTTCGAGTTCTTCATAAACATACCTGAGTAGTTTTACCGCTACCGGTCTCACCGACCAAGATGAGAGTCTGATTCGCGTTCAACACCTGCAGAAACTCCTCTCTCTGTTGCCAAACAGGCAGGGTCTTCCGTTTTTCCAGTATCTCATAATACCTGGGTGAGTAAGGCTTACCGTTCCACCGATTAATCGTACTGTTGGCATTCAAGGTGGCCGCTCGCGCACCGTTCGACTTCGTTAACTTCGCCGAGACGGACGCCTCGTCCACCACGTCGAACAAGCTCACCTTCCTCTTCCTCTCCGTACCCATCCAAAACCCTAAATCCGATTCGAAAAAGGTATGGAGAGCGATCCCCCGTCGAATTTACCTCTTCCTAATCCCTGAGTTCCGAAACCGTGAAAACCCTAGAAGCCGGTTGAGGAAGAAGAAACGCTAGGGTAAATGGGTCGGGTTAGTATTTATAGGAGTTGAAGAAAAAGGAGTAGGAGAATTATTAGTCAGTCCCTATTTTTGGATTTATTTATTTTTTCGCCCACTGCCGCTTCTCTTCTTCCAACCCACCAGCGGAGTACGGCCCTTTTAACTTGGGCTGGGTTGGGCTAGGCTTGGCTTGGGTTAGCCAAGTTCTATTCCTTTAACATTTTCTCATACCGACTCGTACCCATTTTTTGGTCCATAGTCCAATATGAAAAGCCCACATCTGAAATAGCAACTTTCTCCCTGTCCGAGTCTTTGTCGTTCGTACTTGGTCAAGATAAATTTTATCTTTACTTTTGTTTTAATTTTATCAAAAGAATTTAGACTATAAAATAAAAATTATTAGATGAGAAAGCTTTTAATATCAAAGAATTTATCTTCATTCAATGTTTAAAATTATGTAATTTGAAACAATCCAAACCGTACAACACTTTGTCGCTATCAAAATTATAATAACATTACTATTATTATAATTCAGTAAACACAATTTGCTAAAGATTTTTTCTTTTTATATTAAAAAATATAAAAGCTAACTAATTTAAATTATGATTGTTAGATGTCTATTTTTTTTACCGAAGATATTTGTTTTGATTTTTTGCAATAGATAGATAGCTGTTAGCTTCAACTAATAGATTAAATATTTTAAATTATAAATAATAAAGATTATCAATTATTATATATCAATTATCAACTATATCAATTATCAAGTTATTAGATATACTTAAAGAGCTAATCCGAACAACTCCATGGACTTATTTTAAATTACAATTAAAACTTATCAAATCAATTAAAAAAGTAGATCAACTTTTACTTTATTTTATACATTAAGTTGCACAATGAAAAATAATTTTTTCTCATCCTTTAACTTAATTTATTTACATGTTATGTGATTTAAATTTAAAATATTTCATTTTCACTTAAAAGAGATTATTTTTAAATTATTTAAGTTGATTGGTAAGTTTTACAATTTTTAATACTCCATAAAACGTGATAACTGTTGATAAATTATTTTTCCTCATCACATTTATACATGATAGAAAAACCGAAAAGAAAATTCTTGTACAACCTTCTGGAGTAATGAGTAACGCCTCTTAATGGAGCCATACAATGTTATATGACTACATTTATAAACTCTTTTGGCTAAGTATTTGAATAAGGTTTCAATTTTTTTACTAAATTCATAATTGAGGTTTCAAAGTTGATTGTGCTCAAATAAGATCATTAAGTCATCAAAATTTTCAAATAAAGTCTCAATTAGAAATTGTTAACTCTAATAAATTAAATATTCAAAATGGACCCTAAATTTTTTATTAAAACTCTCAAGAATCTCAAAATGCTCCTTAAACTTAAAAATAATTTTAATTTACTTAAGTAATTTACTAATTAACTATAAAATCATTTCATTAAAAATTAATTAACCATTAATCATTAAGTAAAAATTTAATTTTTAGTTTATTAATAAAATAACCTAATCTTTTATTTTTTATTTCTTATAAAAATAATGATAAATTTGTGAAATTCTTATTATACCCCTTCTTTCTCCATCCTCCCCTACTCTTTTCTTTGTCCCTTTTTTCGTTAATTTAACGAATTGATGTATTTTCTTTGTTATAGTTTTAAAAATAAAAATGTAATTTTTTATAATAGGCCACAGAAATGTCACATAAAATTAAAATTAAAATTGTTTTTTAATATTTCATGGAGTTAGGGTTGGGCAGAGGGAGGGAGATAGGAGCTTTCATTTTCTTGGTGGTATCTTGGTATGTGGGGGGATGGAGGAATTGTATAGTTTTTTTATAATGAAGAAGTATGTGGTGTTCAACTCTTAACTAATAAAAGGAAGAACATTTGATGGCTCAAGGCAAAAATTACAGGTACCCTTACTAGGATTGGTGTTCTCAATCAAGAATGTGTGCATGGGAAATTGTTTAACATCAGAAGGTAGTGAAAGAATTTCATAGACTACTGTGTAAGTATGCTGTTTGATGATACTAAGAACATTAATTTGAGAAGTATTTTGTAATTTCGTATGGCATGGACATGAGTACCCCTTATATTTCACTTTATTTATAAATAAATTTATTTTATTTTACTACCCAAAAAAAAAAAATTAGTACCATAAAAGAAATTAATTTTTAGCTATGAGTCCTACAAAATTGCCACATCTACAAAATAAATAAGCTTAAGGAGCATTTTTAGGTTATTGAAAGTTTTAGGATCATTAAAAGACAAAACAGAAAAGTTAGGAGCCATTTTGAATATTTAACCAATTATATAGTTAAAGGTGTTAATGACTAATTGAACTAACCTAATAGAATATGGAACCTTATTTGAGAATTTCGATGACTTCATAACCTTGTTTGAGCATAATAAACTTTTGAGACCTCAACTATGAATTTGGTGAAAATTCAAAACCTTATTCAATACATAAGCCAACCCTTTTCACTTAGCAAAATTTTCATAATTTAGGATGACACATTCATTTAATATATATAACTATAGTGAGATTTTGTTATAAGATAAAAATATGCATTTAAGTGATGGCTAAAAATAGCTCTTTGTAAACATTCTCTCAATCTTTAGCAAAGAAAAGAAAATAACCGTTCTCAATCCCCATGTAAAAACTCCTACCTCCTCTTGATAGAAGGCAGTTAATTGAGTTGGGAACTAAATAGATGGTGGACTCAATTTTAGGAGGGAGGGAGGGAATGAAATGCTTAAGCAATAAGAGTAATTGTCATACTTAATATATTGTCCTCCATATGTCGGCCTTCATAATTATCATACTTGTCATAAACGTCAAGTCTTTGTGTAAATGAAACGAAAATGGCTAATTTTTCCTAGTTAGCACTTTTGCCATCTATCTTGTTCAGATTGCACGCAAGATAGACAAGGAGTAGCTGTTGATGGAGTAAGAATCATCTTAATATTAAAGACTCTACTTATCAATAATAATAAAATAAGTAGTTCACACAAAACAGATTGTAGATCATTTTTCTATTTTTTATTGCCAAAATATTGCCGATTTTCATACTACTATTAAATAAAAGGTTTGGTGAATAAATAAGATTATTTAATGAATGGGAAATGAAATCAGCATTTCCTACTACCTAATTCCCTCTAAAGATGGTATTAATAGATCTGATTCCAACAAATTTAAAATTTTGAAAGAAAGGAAAGAACTTTTAAGCAAGTTGCATCATAAAACATTGCCCTACTCTAATATATATCTTGTTTGGTTTTGAGGAAACAAATGAAAGGGGAAGGGAAGTGGCCATTTGTGAACCAATTAATCAAATTAAATCGTGTAGTTAATAAAATAATTTAATTAATTATGATAATTTTCTCTCACTATCATCAAATTAAATGGTTAAATGAGCACCTAAACCTCATAATTCAACAATAATAGGTCGACTCATAAAGTGTATCCCCCAACTAGAAAGCCATAATTCAAATCTCTCAACTTCCAATTTGTAACCTATTCAAAAAAATTTTTAAAAAAAATTGTACAAGTTTTAAATAAAAACTCTACCAAACATGTCATAATTAAGACCATGAATTTTTTATTATTTTTTTGCCGAAAATTAGGACCACATGATTCAAACAACAGATATTTCTTGCGTAGTTGCCATCTATGTTAAAATTTCTCATTGTTCAAAAATGTCTAGCAAGTCAAAGAAAAGGGACTTCAAGTATATGCATGTGTAGTTTTGATCAATCTCCAACACGCGCATCCTCATTAGAACCTGACTAGCTGTGTCATAGAGTTTACCATACAGGAGAAAAGAATCGTTCCTAACATGTAGGACAACCATATTAATTATTAAAATCATTACACGGCCACCTGACATCTACACGCATACCATATGTTAGCGGGCTGCAATCCTGTGGGTCAGAAACGGAGTGCTCTTTATGTTTAACAAGTCCTACACATGAAACGCGTGAGTAAATACGACTAAAGTCAGTCGGTTCATCGTGTGGACGGTTTGTTATTGACCGGCTATTGACGGGCCTGCTGCCATCAATCGGTCATAGCTAGCTAGCTAGCCGCAACCTCCGTGGTTGTTTTCCCTCAACGACGTTGTTTTCGCAATTTGCAACTGCAAACTTTCACACATCCTTTTCAAAATGAGATTTGTTCTTTATTTTCATGAAGATCAGATAGATGCGCTGGGATAACTTGGAAGAAAAGTCTGGAATTCACCTTCCTATAGAGGTAGTTAATTTGTACTATCTATGTAGGCAAAATAAAAATGGACGTGCATTAATGTTGGTAGTTAGGTGGAAGTTGAAACGTATAAATTAAAACTAGCTAGCTAATTGCTATATATCCATCTCCATACCCTGCAAATGAGACAGGTGGATATCTATCACACAATGCCAAATTATTGTACAAAAATCGAGTCCATATTTGTACTTGTACGCAAGAACAATTAATTAACTTATGGTGACCATCAAATTAACTATTGTTGCTACACTTTCAAATCAAACAATTTAAAGCAACATGGTATGAGTTTTATGCCAATTTCACATGATGAATATCTTGCCTTGCACCATGGATCTTCACATTGCATTGGGCTTTGGCAAAGACTTCTATGTCATATCTTTGAAGAGAATTTGTTAATATGAAAGGTTTAATCGTTAAAAAAACGTGACAATAGTTAATTAAGTTTTTTTTTTTTTTTTTGAAAGGTAATAAATTAATTTTAGTTAGTAAAGTTATATATGGAACTAGATATGCATTGTAGAAATTCAACATCACAAGATTTGAGGAGCTTTAATTGGTCTCGATAATCTACATCAATAAATATATGTTATTATAAAGAAGTGTCATGGTCGTGGATTTGGTCCATCCATGAATAATTGTGTTCTAATGGAAATAAATCTTCTAAAAAATTTAATGTGTTAGTAGGTAGAGTCATTTATCATTATGCAAATAAAAAAAATGATATTTTCAAATATTTTTATTTTTCTTAATTAATTAGGGGGCAAAGGTTATATGAGACTTGGAGCTGTTCTCAAGAATAATGCAGGCAATATACTCGGCTCCGCAGCGTTTACACAGGATCTCCTTCTGGAGCGGAAATCCTTTCGTTCCTGAGTACAGATAGGCAGTGAGTTTTGCTGCAAAGATATTATTCTGGAATAATCTGATTGTAATAAGCAAGAAGGTGATATAGCTACCTCTAATGAGGAACGTCTGAATATTCTTTCATGCGGTGCAGTCGTAACAAACTTGAGGGTAAGAGCTAGTCTTCATCGTCTTTGACACTTACAGCATACCGGCCGGTAATATCTCTTCGCCCATAGATTAGCTTTAATTGCCCTCACCTACCCCTACTTTGAATGGAGTTTGGTTTGGCTATTTTTTGCCTTATGCCTTACGTATTAATATAATGATATTTCTCTAAGCAATAAAAGTATATCTTTAATTTATCATAAAAATAATTTAAGAATTTAGTACTACAGTATAAATTTTTTTAATGAAATTAATTAAGAAATCTTGAATTCAAATCATAAGTATATAGGTAAAGTAAGTTACAAATAAAAAAATTATTTTTATTATATAATTTAAAATAAAATAATGATAAATGAAATTAAAATTAAAATTAAAATTTAAAATTAATAATGTAACATCAACCAATACCCCTATATTATTTAATTACTGATTTTTTTATTTTTTTAAAAATTATAATATTATGTATATTAATTAATTTAATAATATAACATAAATCACATTATTGATCTTAAATTTTTATCCTAAAATTCCATCCTCCCTAACATCACTTTTTAAAATAATATAAAAAAAAAAAACCAATACTACACACTAGCTATAAGAATCATCCAAAGAAGTCCACATTTGTCTCCAACCAATGTAGGAATCTTGCGGTGAGAAGATAATTATAGACTTATACACATTCGTATATATGTATATATATATATAATAAGCAGATAGGTAAGCACATATGTTACAAGCAAAATTTTGGTTTTAGTATAAATTAACAACCATATATAAACATCGTAATTGAAAAGAAATCATCTCTAACACCAAGTACCGTACGAACTGAAATACTCATGGAAAATGATATAGATGCCTCGATGCTGAGATTTATGAGGCTATACAATCAAAGCAACGCCAAGCTCACCCTTTTTTGTACAACTTGTGGGCTTCAATCTTTAAGAGATTTTATGGTTTGTTGTTATTACATGATATGCCTTCATTACCCGCCAAGATCAAGTACTTGTCCCTTCTGGTAAGTTTGGTGCACTCAAATCCTAGAGCCTTACCTAGCTCACTTTGAACATGGTTAGCCACATCGTACCTCGATGTGCTGTTCCCCTCACACATTGGGGACCCAGAAATGGGATTCAATATCTCAACCGTGTAGCTTGGTTTTGGGTTCATCGAGAAGAAAACTGGGTCGAGGCACTTAAGCCCACCAGCGGTAGTTCCATAGAACATACTAACACGTGCATCCACAGCGACTGGCACGATGTCCTCGCTCATTTCTGAAAACAGTGGGCTAAATCTCAAGAGATAGGGTTCCCTACATGTGGTCCCTTCAGGACACACCACCATGTCCCCCTGATTTAATAGCTTTCCCATTTTTTCCGCGTCTATGTCTCGGTTTCTGGTTAATCGGACGGTTCTGATTGGCGCAAGCAGCTCCGATACCCTGCTAAGGCTGTAAGTTACCGCTGTAAGATCTTTCTGTAAGGAAAATGAAACATACAGAGGATCAAGCAGAGTCCTGTGGTTGCAGACGTAAAGAACACCTCTCTGTTTCTGTTCCTTCTTGTGTGAGGAAGGCGGTTTTGTGGGTTTTATAGTTAAACGAAGGACAAAGCCGCTGTAGGCTAACATGGGGGTGGAAAGCTTGAAGGGAAAACTCAAGGCGATGATGATTCTGAAGATGGAGAGAATGATACCAAATGGCATCCACATGAAAAAGGTTAGAGCGGCTATTGGGGTTGGTCGGAGAGCCACTCTACCATCATGGAAAATGAACGGTTTCGGGTACATGTCTCTTGGTAGACTACTCCAAATTCTCTTCTCTGATCTTGCCACCAAGTAAACTTCCTGTGGATATATGCAAGCATTATCAACAACGTTCAATTGAAAAACCAATTGACAGTAAATAAAGTATATGATAAGGCAAAAGTCATTACCTTGCAGGAAGAGAAGAAATATTTGTCGAGGCTGTTGAAGCGAGTGATCCCAATAAGATCGTTAATTGAACTTTCATTAGTAATTGTAAGGATTTCCTCCAAGGCAACCGAGCTTGCCTTTTTCTCTTCCATGAGTCCTAGAAAGTACCCATGGAAAACCTTCAGCTCTCTTCCAACGACAAAGTCGATTTCGAGGTAATCTCTTAGGAAGCTCTCAATCATTACCTGGGGAATGTTACTGACAGCAATTCTTTTCCCTCCTTTCTTCAACACCATAAATGGTTCCCAGCCTACATCCTCCAAGAGGAACTTTGGCAGAACGGCTCTTCCTACTCTGAATCTCTCTTTCTTGATCCCGAAGAAACAAACCATGACCATCATCTTCATCCCCATCTCTTCTCTAACTGAACATATTAATGGATACAGAAGTAACAGCACAAGAGCCCTTAAGACGCCACCGGCTTCAAAAGCCACAAGGAAGAAGTAAGGAAACAAAGACGAAGACTTCAACAATGCCCCTTCCACGCTGAAAATCAGAGTTTTCTCCGATAGATCGGATCTATGAAGGAGAGAAACGAATTTCTGGCATTTACAATGGGTGTTTACATGGATATTGCTGACATTTCTGTGGAGACCTTTAGGGATGATCTTAAATTGTCGAAACAGAACTCGATAGAGAAAGAGGAAAAGGGTTTTGAAGAAAGAAAATTTAACGGACATTTCAGCCATTTCTGGTGTGGGGGGTTGGTTACATGTTAGATCAGGTACAAACCTGGTGCGGTTTTATATTGTTTAGGACACAACATTACCCTCAAACTTAGTTGTTTATTACAAGAAAGTAGAGCAACTTGTCTTCAAGCCATGGAGGCAATGGCATAGCTAGAATTTAAGACGTGGGTGGGACACAACAGCTATAAATGAAAAATAATTAGAGCTAGGATTTACCAAAGCATGGAAAATGGTTGTTCAAAATCAAAAATTTTGTTTTCTTATGATATATCTTAATTGTCCGGAGTCTTGGAAAATATGGTCTGCATGTCAGAGGTGGTCGGCAATTAGTACAGCTTTGATTTGCAAGAGGAAAGTAAAATCTTCAACAGCGCACAGCGATTTGTTTCAGAATTAAAAAAATTAATTAGGAAGGCTTGGGTAACCATTTGGTTTGCTATAGTATTGTGCTTATGGCTCGGAGGAATCCAACTTGTGCTTAAAGAGGAGAAAGAGACCTGGGAAAAGGTAGTGAAACTAATCAAGGTCAGATCCCTTTACTGGCTCAAATAATTGGCCTGATTTATCTATTGACTTATGGGATAGTTTACCAAAAGAGGCATTGGAAAAGCGTGCTAAGTATCAATTGTGATCCTAACTAAGGAATTTAATGCACCGTAAAACCAAATTGAAGTTGATGGATGTATTAGGATAGGACAATGCTTCATACACCCACCAGTTCAACACCCGGTGGGTACACACAACAAACTGAATAATTGTAAAAGTAAAATTACAAATTTATCCTTAAAAGCATCTTCTTCCTCACAAAAACCATTTGAATCCCAACAGAACTCAATCAAGTATTCAAGCACCAAACTAGAATCTTGAGTAAGTTTCCTAAATGACAGCAACATCAAATCTTGACGAAGAGTTCATTTTCTTAGAAAACCATCCTCGATTTAGCCATGATTTTGTAGCCTATGATTTTGTAGCCCATTAGACACATAAAACAGATTTATTTTGGGGATGATATGGCAAAAAGTGGAGTGCAGGTGAGGGTAGCCAATCGATAAGAAAGGGAAAAGAAAACAAGGGAAATTTTTACAGTTTTGGTACTATGTGCAATTTTGCTATTTTGTTCATTTTATAAAAGTTCACCATTAGATTGAATTGAAATTTTGTCTGGATATTCAAGAGATATTGATCTACATGTTGAACAGTTAGTTTTTCATTTAGAGCTTTGTAGATTCTGATTTTGTATTCAAAATAGTAGCTTATTTTTGGTGATCTGTTTTTTTTTTT